CCCTAACAGTACTGAGCGAAGCGAGCAAAGAGGGCACGCCCCTACTACCCTCATAAACCAAATAATAAAGCAATAAAAACTCATATCGTGAAATCAATTCTTCTTGAGCTATTCTCACTCAACGTTGCATCATGTGGAAAAACAATGGAATAATTTTTCACAGAAAAATAAAACTTTCGTCAATAATCATGGGAGGGGCTGGGGAACGTTGAGCGAAGCAAGCAGAGGGCGGAGCCTAATAAACCAAATAATAAAACTATAACAACTCACATCACGAAACAAATCATTCTTAAAGTGTTTCTCACTCATAAGTCATCATCATTTGAAGAAACAATAGAATAATTTTTCGCGAAAGAATAAAACCTTCGTTAATATTCAAGGGGTGGGGGGGTGGGGGGGGTGGAGCCCATGAAAACGTTGAGCGAAGCGAGCAGGGGGCGGAGCCCCGCTGAGACAGTTGAGCGAAGCGAGCAGGGGGCGGAGCCCCCTGAGAACATTAAGCGAATAATTCTTTTAATAAAATAAAACTAAAAACTCACATCATGAAACAAATCCTTCTTGAACTGCCTCCCACTCAGCGGCGCGTCATGCGGAAAAACAATGGTATAATTTTTCGCGTAGGACTCGTGCGACCTCTCATTAGCCCACACCTGATCCCTCCTCTGCTCCGGAGTGAACCTCCTGACGTCATAACTGTACATGTGCCTCTCAGGCCTGCCGTCCATGATCCACGAGGCGATTTGCTCGCCACACCCACCCCCGTACATCATCCCCGCACTGTTGTACCCGCACGAGTAGAAGAGCCCCGCGCACTTGGGATCCTCCCCCAAAATCGGTTTATGGTCAGGGGTGAAGCTCTCCGGGCCGCACACGTTGGACTGAATCCCAGTGGTGCCGATTTTCGGTATAAGTTCCACCACTGAATTTATGTGGGTATTGAAGACCGTCCAGTCGAGCTCGTAGAGGCTGAATGTGAAGTCCTTGGCGAGGGACTTGAGGATGATGGGGTTGGGCTCGTATCCTCCGACGGCTAGGGACGACCCCTGGACCTTGATGTAGATGCTGCTGTCGTGGTCCCTGATGTTGGGCAAACCCTGGACCCCCTCTAGCCTCTCGGTCACCACGTAGGCGTGCTTCATGGCGATCAGGGGAATGTCCACTCCTGCCATTTTAGCGACACTCTTCGACCAAGCACCCGCCGCGTTCAGCACGCATTTTGTTCGGATCAAACCGAATGGGGTTTCCACTCCAGTTATCTTCCTCCATCCGTACTCCTGCTCCTCGGTGATCAGTCTGGTCACTGGGCAATCCTCAATTATCTGGAATCGAATGGGAAGTGGTCAATTTATTGATTCAATCCATTGATTTTGTAGAGAGGCGGTGAAACGGTTCGAGTCGATTTTGGCAATTGGTTTTTGATGAGTATCTCGAAATTTAAGGGAGGTAGCTAAATTTTTGTTATGACCTTTTTTGTAGCCCTCATTTCGATCTACAAAAAAGGTAATTACGAAAATTTCGGTATCTCCCTTAGATTCGGAGATATCAACTTTTTTCCGATTCGAGAACTGTAAATTTTATTCCCTGAAAATGAGTCAGTTTTTGATGAATATCTCGAAATCTAAGGGAGATGGCAAGATTTTTGTAATGACCTTTTTTGTAGCGCTCATTTCGTTCTACAAAAAAGGTAATTACGAAAATTTCGGTATCTCCCTTAGATTCGGAGATATCAACTTTTTTCCGATTCGAGAACTGTAAATTTTATTCCCTGAAAATGAGTCAGTTTTTGATGAATATCTCGAAATCTAAGGGAGATAGCAAGACTTTTGTAATGACCTTTTTTGTAGCGCTCATTTCGCTCTATAAAAAAGGTAATTACGAAAATTCCGGTATCTCCCTTAGATTCGGAGGTATTCCTCGAAAACCCAGCTAAGGGCCAACTCGAGTTAAATTTCACGAAGTGAAAATCGAAAGGTCTGCGGTAATGCGAAAAATTATCAATCAATTCAAAGATAAATGAGAACTGTAAATTATCGTCTCCATCATGCAACGGATATGTATTATTCATAAAATAATACAAATTTTAAAAAATTAGGAATTTATACCCTGCCCCCATGATTCTTCGCGGCTTTGGTAAGCGCTGCCGTCAGCATTGTTGGATCCATCGATCCGTCCTGCGGGCAGTAAATCGATCCCACGATGACTTTCTCATCCAAAAGAGGAAACAACTCTTTGGTCTCTTTCGCGGACAAAATGTGCGCTTCCACTCCGAGATACTTTCCCGCCGTCACAAGCCTCCTGTACTCGTCCATTCGAGTCTGAAAAATTTCGAAAAATCCACTCAACGTAAAATCATCCCCGGAGTATCCTCCACACTGAGAAAAAAAATTATTTTTGCCAAATATTCATTTGCTTGAGAGGAGCATTTTCTTAAAATCGTATTTCTCCAATCAAATTCAATTACGACAATCGTGTTGCTCTAGAGTCTAGACGATGACTATGTTGCACATGACCTTGGATGAACTCTTCCAATGATTATTCATTTTTCCTAAATTCCTTATTTTTAGAGGAAAGAATTTCCATCAATTTTTTAATGTTGATAATTATTCCGAGAATTCCTTCAAGGTCATAAGTAACATGATCATCTTCTAGAGCAATAGGGGAGCATGGGGCAAAATGAAACACGGGGCAAAATGAAACAGTGGGAAAATCTCGTCATCTAAAGGAGATAGGACATTTTTGAAGAGGACCTTTTTTGTAGCTCGTAAAATTCTCTACAAAAAAGGTTTTCATGAAAATCGTCCTATCTCCCTTAGATCACCAGATTTTCTTGCTGTTTCATTTTGCCCCGTGTTTCATTTTGCCCCACCGTCCCCTATAATTATCGTAATTGAAACCTAATGAGGACTGCCTGGAACTGACTCGAATGGAGAAATTTGTTATTGAAAAAATAAATACTTCTCTCAAGTAAACGGATATTTGGTAAAAGTAATTTTTTTTCTCAGTGCCATGATTAATCAATCACACCTCATTATGCGCTATGAAAATCCCACCGTTCTGGATGTACCCCGGGTTGAGTCCCGTTTCTTCCTCTATATTAACTAACGTCGTCCTCGTGGAACTCAACAACTGAATGTCAACGTCACTAGGCCTCAGCCTCCAGTACATCCCCGCTGTGTGCCACGTTGTGCCCGACGTCAATTTCGATCTTTCCAGTAGAATCGCATTTGATCCCCGTTTTGCCAAGTGGTAGAGAGCATTGCAGCCCGCACTACCTCCCCCTGCACTCCACAGGGAAGAATTAATTCCCAGAAAATTAGTGAATTTAATAAATCCCTTTCACGAATTATGAATTGCAATTTTTGTTGACTTTTCAAATGAAACTTGCAGTTCAGACAGAAATCATTAACACGTTTAAGTGCTTATCAACAGTGAGAGGCTACCGAATTGTCAGATCTTTATATATGAATGCACATAATTATATTTTTGTATTTTTCATAATTTTATACTCCACAGAAAAGAGAGTGAGCCAGTTTTCAATGAATATCTCGGAATCTAAGGGAGATGGCAAATTTGTTGTCATGACCTTTTTTGTGGCCCTCAGTTCCCTCTACAAAAAAGGTAATTACGAAAATTTCGGTATCTCCCTTAGATTCCGAGATATTCGTTGAAAACCGGTCAATAGTCAAAATTGACTCATCTCCTTTCACCACCTCGCCACTGAGATCATTCGAATCCGTAAAAATATTCCAATAAAATGGAGAAATCAGTGAGATAGATGTCTTCAAAATCCTCTCACCAATGATAACAACATCAGCAAATTCCGGAAGTGTCGGTGTCTTCTTGACATTTTTATCCCCAGCAACAGTGAGAATACTCCTCCTCGTGGTGATTCTATTCCACGGGGTCAGCTACGATCAACCCCAATAATCAATAGATAAATTGCCGATTAAACTATCGTGAGTCAATGACCAGTAACTGATAGAGATAGTACGTTACCTTGGTCTTGACCGCTCGAAACATGTTTCCTGTGCGGTTGACGATGGTCTTGATGCCACTACAATACTGTTCACACTTGAGAGGTACACGGACTCCTCTGAGTCTCGTCATGGTCGATAGCAACTATTGAAAATAAATCTGTTATCAATAATTTTGTCCTCGTTCCCCTCACCCGGTGGAGGCTGCACTTGAAGAGGCGAGAAATCGTATGAATTTCAGGGGAACAGAGAGAAAATAAATTGCAAATCGGGGAGCAATCAGCGCAAGTGGTGGGGCTTCATTGCCTCAACTTCAATCGGGGGTTTTGCAATGCCTTGAACATGATAAACAGTGGTAACACACATTTACCATCGGTTTATTTATTTCTGTATCGTTATTTTTTTAGTATCAGCATTATCGCTGGATGACGATAAACATGTTTTTGGTTCTTTGGGTTTTAAAGAAGTTCAAATGTGTCCGGAGGCTTGGGAGGCTTTTATGGATTTTTCATAACAAGTCAAGTGTCATTAACGTCAGTAATTCATCGGGTGATGTTGATTGACTTTCGCCAAAATCGAAATTCTATTGAATTTTAATCGATTTCGAGTCGATTTTAAACTGTTTCCTGGGAAATTTAGTCATTTAAATCAAATAAATGATTGTAATAATGAGTTAAATGGAATATTATTACATTGTTTATCAAATAAAGTAGAATAATAAACATTATTTTAGCCTGATGACAAGAGAATTGAACTTAGCTCACTTGATCATTATTGAATGTGTTATTTAAAATGTTTATTTCATTCAAATAAAATATTACATCATTTATTATATAATGAATATAATAAATATTATTTCACCCTGATAACGAGCAAATTGAATTCACCTCAATCATTAAAAAATTTTTGTTTTCCCAAAAAACAAAAAAAATTTATTCAATTAAAAAAGCCATTATCATCCAACAATATCAGGATGGAAGGCTTTAATTGATTTTTCATAACAAGTCAAGTGTCATTAACGTCAGTAATTCATCGGGTGATGTTGATTGACTTTCGCCAAAATCGAAATTCTATTGAATTTTAATCGATTTCGAGTCGATTTTAAACTGTTTCCTGGGAAATTTAGTCATTTAAATCAAATAAATGATTGTAATAATGA